AAAAAAAAAAAAAAAAAAAAAAAAAAAAAAAAAAAAGAGGGAAAATTATCTCTTAAAAAAGAGGAATTTTCAACTTGAAGTGTTAAGTGTTCTTAACCGTATCGGTTTTGCACAATGTCTTTTTATATCTTATTGAGCGCTGCAAAAGTGGAAGATCCAGACAGGACTTGGGTAAAAGCACAGCAGTGCCTTGCATTCGAAGGCTGGGCTTACTTAAGCCTGCAAACTGCTTAGCTGGAAGTTAACCTCAAAGCCACACTAGTCCCAAAATCTTACCCCATCACGCTTGACTCTGATTCTCAGTTATTTCTTTTCTTCTTGCCTTTGATAAAACATTATTGCAGTGTTTCAGTACTCTGGCTGCTGGTCCCCAGAGAAACCAGGAAGAGCAGAAAGAAGAGAAAATTAAAGAGATGTTTGGCAACATAAAACATAATTTAAAAAGAAAAAAGCACCTTTTTCTGTGTCATTATTGAAACTTCAGATTGTAAGAACTTAAATGATTCCTGTGGATCTGCTTTACTCCTCACTTCTTTTTATTCTCTGTTGTTTATTTTTTAACATTTCCTTCAGATGGAGTAATAAAACCAGGCAAATCCAATTCCTTTTGTTTCCTGGCAGGTTTTCTTCCTATTTCTTGTGTCTATTGGACTTCAAGTGGTGCAGGAAAAACAATCAGAAGTGCACAGTGAGATGCACACAAAGCAAGAGGGCCTACAAACCTGTCAGAGAAAATGTGTGATCCCTTTCAAGGATCTCCTTTTAGGGACAATTATTGGATCCCATTCTGGTCCCTCCAGAGCCTTTCAGCTTGGGCATATGAAGTGTGTGATCAAATTTTGCAAAGACTTTTGTGTCTTTTTGCTTTTGTTATATGGAAAGAAGACAAGAAAGTAGGTTTCCTTAATTTTTAGTGTTTTCTGCTGTCTTTTATATTTTACTTTAGGATAAGGAAGAAAGCTTTAAGATTAGACCTTCAGAGAAGACAGAAAGCATTCTGGTGGAATATTATCCTGTTTACTCTCATTTGGAGAAAGCCATGACCCTCTTGAAATAGCAAAACTTTCTTGGATTTCACTGTGGAACAAGATTGCTTTAATTAATTAATTTTGCTTACCTTTTATTGCCAATGTTATTCAAATCCCTGCATTTGGCAGAAGGATTTCTTTGTTTAAAAATGAACAGTTGCATTCTTTCTCCCCCTTCTCAGCAGATCATTTCACTTTTTTGTTTGTTGAAGAGCTGGAAAATCCACAAAAACTATTACTTCCAAAAGCATCTTCCAGCCATGCTATGGAAGACACTCTCTTGACGTGTCATGGTTTAGAAATGCACAGAGACTAAAAATTGGGCTAGATGGACCACTGTCCTGCACTGAAAAAGCATTATTTGTCTTTTTATGCTTTTTGCAATTTTATCGCTTTCCTTTGAATATTTTTAGCATTGAGATTGAGCTGTGGATGAAATCAGAATATGAAGTATTCATTAATATAAAGTGTTCATGCTGTAGATTCCTAGAGTTTACCAAATATGAGAGATGGTAAATGTCTTATTCATATACATGCCTGCATGCATGAGTGTGTTTAACTGTTCATATCCAAATATCGGTGTTTTGTGCATGTCCCTCGAGGCACTGCTGTCTCCTTAGTGATTCAGTTCTACATTTCTCCTTGGCACAAACACAATCCTTTGGGATGAACAGTGACTGTTCGAAAGACCATGGAGATAAGAACAGCATTTTTTTAATTGGACCTGGGTATTCCTCATGGCTTAGCACCTGACAGAGGCTTGGATGTTGTCCTACTCTGTATAGGTAGAGGGCCACAACTGTACCATGTAATACAGGAGCCTGGATTTCCCCTCCTAAAACCATGTGGCACCTCTTGAAAAAGTCTGTCATAAAACAGGATTTGAATATATGAAAAATATGAATGTTGTCTTCCTCGGTGATGTGAAGCGTAGCAGTCCAGGGATAGAAATTTTAAGGAATAGAAAAGTTTCTGAGGAATTTCCTACACCTCAGTGTGAAGCTCCTGGTTAGCTGAATGAGTTCATGATGATCTGGAGCTGGCCTGCAAACAATGCAGGTGGAGGAATAACTGCACAATCTGCAGTAATCAGGGCATGGTCCTGTTTAT